GCTGACCTGTGGGTGGCTGGCCTGTTGGAAGGCTGCCAGGCACCTTTCAGGTTGTTCCAGCCAAGTCCTGAAGTCACGTGTGGCTCATGCCGATTCTGACCAGCGACCCAATGGGGGTCATGGTATAAGGCACGAGCGAAAACCCAGCAGTCAGGTGAATAAACGTCCCAGTGATTGTGGAGTTTGTCCTTGGGCATCCAGACCTAAGCCAGCAGCTGGGGAATGTTTGAATCCAGAGATTGCTCCAGGGAGGAGAAGTTGGGCCACAATGAGGCAGAGGTTCAGGCTTTCTGACCGAGAGGGGCCAAACAGAGGAAGCAGATGAGAAGGGAGAAAGGAAGCTGCTGGGGAGGCTCCATGGCCAGCCAACGCGGACTCCAGATGTTGCACAACCAAGAGAGGGTTCAGATGGCTGGAAATCAGGCACGGGGTAGTTTGGGTAAATCCAACAATCTGGTTTATGGGAAGTATGCAGAAGAAATCAGCAACCCCAACACACACAGCGGAGAGAGAGAGGACACTTCCCAGAACAGATGGAGATCCCCATTCCTGGGCTCTGGAATCTTCACCATGGCAGGCCGGGCAGTGAATGATCACTGGATTTCCCATGATGCATCCCCTTCCAGGTCCCTGCACACCTTTTAATCTGGAAACGTAGCCAGCTCACCTCCTCCATTTGGGAGTCGTGTGTTCACGGGACTCTCAGGTCATTACAGGCTCAAATTTCCAGATGAGGATGGCCTGGTTTCTAGCACATTCCAGACTCAGCCAGGAAAGCTGAGAGCCAGGGTCTGCTGCCCAGCTGACACCAGCGTCATGCTCACTGGCCGCTACACCAGCAGTTTACCTGCAGATAATCCAGCTGCTAAACCAATGGTCTACTTGCAGCTACACTGAGTGTCTTAGACAGAGGTGCCCCAGGAATGAAACCCATGAAAATGCTCAGGTGGGACACCAGGACACTGGTTTAACCATTCAGTGTCATATCGGAGAAAATCTTGGGGTGAAAAGCTTGTTGAAATCTTTCAATTTCTAATTAGAAGGAGGAGTCATTTTTAACCCAGTTTTATGGGTCAAAGAAAACTTCAGTTGTTCTGGCTCTGGCTACTTTGGACAACATTCTCCTGATAAAACTGATCTTACTTTTCACGCTGTGTGCATTCCATCCTGTCTCCAGTTGTCTGCAAGTGACTTGTGGGTTATGTTCTGGAGCATGACCAGATCCTACCCAATGGCCCTGCACATTTTTTGGCCTTTTTTTTTTATCTGAACAGCTGTAACTGGCTCAGAAAAAGGCAAGAACTCCTAATTCAAGGATCTTCTGCATTTCTCACATTTATTTGACAATAAACACCCACTGTTAGCATAATTTATTCCTGTGTTGCCCTAGGCCTAACCAAGGTTTCTGACCTCCTGTGGGAAGATAACCTAAAATCGACTCTAGCTTTTATTATTATTATTATGAAGTAGTTAGAATACTTAGAACCGTCTTAACATACAGATGGCTGAACCACAGCCCTTCCTCTTCAGTATGGTCCTTCCTTTCATTTGTAGCTGGTGGTCACCCAGCCTGGTCCAAATTAGCACCAACATCTATTCTGTCTGGTCAGTCTGAAAGGGACACTGGTAAACATTTTGATTTTTACTCCATAATGAATTCATGTATAAAAAAGGGTAATAAATACACAGGTACAAATCAGACGGAGAAGCAGAGTTTACAGGGAGGGCATTTGGTATGGTGGTTAAAACACTGCTTAGGGTGCCCGTACCCCATCTTAGAGTGCCTGGGTTTGGGTCCTGACTCCAGCTGCCTGCTAAGGTGCACACTGGGAGGCACCAGTGATGACTCAAGTAGTTGAGTCCGTGCCACCCATTTGGGTGCTCAGATTCAGTTCCAAGATTCTGGTGTTGGCCTTGCCCAGCGCCCACTGTTGTGGCTATTTGGAGAGTGAACAAGCAATGGAAATTCTATCTGTCTCTCTTCTTTTTGAGTAAATAAAATATGTAAATTGACAAAAATGAAAAGAAACAGGGCATTACAAAAACTCCCAAATGCATTTTCAATAGGCAAAGTGTTTGTACCATTGAAAAATTCAAAGGTAAAAAGGCCTCCATTTATCTTTCTTTCTCAGCTGCCTTGGCCCTATTGCTGAGTTTCTTGTGTATCCTTTCAGAGACTTTATGTACAGACCAAAAAAAAAAAAAAAAAAAAAACCTTATGTATAGGTTTTATTTCTCCTTTATTCTCTGCTAGTAGCATACAGTACACGGCATTCTGCTTTTCTTTTAAGCTTAACTGTGTATTGGTGGTCTCTCCACTTCAATGCTCAAAGGGTTTTCTTAGTGTGTTTGGCAAAGCTAGGTGGTACATCATTGTGTGTTTGTACTGTAATCTGCTTGATGAGTCACCTCCTGACTACATACAAGGTTATTTACAGATACTGGATACGATAATGAATAACTTTGTACATACTCACTTCACAAATATGCCAGCGTATCTGTAAATTAGATTCTTATAAATAGACTTGCTAGTTTACAGGGTGTGTCACAACAATGTTTCACAAGTATGCAGATAAATCTGTATGACAGAGTCATAGAAGTAGAACTGTCAGGTCAGAAAGCAGGTGCATCTGTAATCTCTATAAAGAGATTGAAGATATGGCCTCAGTAGGGTTGTGCAAGCCATATGAACATAATAGATTACCAGCATAGTATATGACTGAACTTTTAGCTCTTTTGACAGCTGATAAGTGATATCTCATATAGTTTTTATTTTACATTTCCTTCATTTTTTAAAATATATTTTTTTGAAAGGCAGAGTTCCAGAGAGACTGAGGGAGAAAAACCTTCCATCTGCTAATTCACTCCCCAAATGGCCACAATGCCCAGAGCTGGGACAGGCTGAAGCCAGAAGACAGGAGCTTCTTCCAGGTCTTCCACATGGGTACAGGTGCCTAAGCACTTGGACCATCTTCTGGTGCTTTCCCAGGCAGATTGGCAGGGAGCTGGATTAGCAGTGGAGCACCTGGGACTTGACCCAGCATCCATATGGGATGTCAGCTCCACAGCTTTACCCACTACAACTCAGCACTGGCCCCCACATTTCTTTGATTATGAATGAGGTTGAACAGATTTTTATATATTTATAAGGGCTGCTATCTGCTGTGAATGTCCTGTTTATATCTTTTATGCTTTCCTATGGGATTAGTGGACTTTATACTGATTTTTAAGAGCTCTTAACATATGAGAAGAATTAGCCTTATGGAAGTACACTATGAGATGTAATTTTTTTTTGTCATTTGGTCATTTGTCTTTAACTTAGGTTGGATTTTGATATGCAGAAAGGTTTTCATTTTTATGTGGGCTGTATCACTCTTGGTCTCCTGTACACTGTTCTAGATCTGTGCTGATTGACTATGCAATTGGTTTTACCTACAAAGGCAATGATTTGTTTAAAGGCTATCTAGAGCATAAATGAGCACTTTTTCTAGAAAGGACTGGGCAATGAATAAATATTTCATTTTAGACTTTAAAATCAGTTCACCACATCTGCTCTGCCACTGCAGTGTGAAAGCTGGCATCAACACGACTTAAATGAATGAATGAGGCCGTGTGCCAGTAAAACTTGATTTACAAAAATAGGTTAGCAGGCAGGGTTGGCCCATGGGCCATTGTTTGCATAGAGGCCACTAGGAGTCCTTTCCTGGCCGGTGCAGCCACTGTGTTTGGCCTCTTCTGTGGTCTCCCCACATGAACAGAAAAATGCTTTCAGCTCAGTTCTTTCGTCTGAGTCCCACCCTTCCCACCTGCTATGGCACCAGCGGCTTGCTCAGCAGAGATTATTTTTGGCGGTTTTCCAATCTGGAACCAAATATCCAGGTTCTCGGGCAGCTATAGGCAGCCCATGGATTTTTATGTTTTTCAACTGATGTGGTTAAGCCAAGTGGTGGCCTCTGGCCAGCATCTCAGCTGGTGAATGACTCGGCATTTATACATGTTTTCCAGGCACCAAAAACTCACTGCACAGGAATCTCCCTCCAACACAACCTACTGGTAGCCCCTTCCATACCCGGGGTGGTGCTTGGCCTCAAATACCAATTCCTGCTCATCTCATCTACATGTGAGAAGACCTAACATGTGTTGCATCAATGAGAAAAATAGTAAAAATCATAGCAGTTATTTGTAGTGGCTAAAGAAAAACTGCTTTTTAACATCAGCTACAATGGAGTTTTCTGGCATCAGATAGAACCTCATCTTAAACAAGCATGGGCCAACAACCTTGGTTTGAAATGTTGGTTGCCACCTCTCCTTTTAAGAACTAAGGGAAATGCTCGTGCCATAAGCTGGGAAGGAGGGTTGGCGATAGTAACCAGCCAGGAGGGTGGCTGTGGGTTGTGTAGGGGGGACGGATAGTGAGTAGCACAGGGGAAACCCAGACCAGAGTGGCCAGGAGGAAGAGAGCTGGAGAGGTAGATGGGGCCAAATCAGGCAGACTCTCCGAGACTTCTTAAGGATGTCAGTCTTTATCCTACAAATACGAGCAGGGGAAAGCCAGGGAAAGTGATGGTATCAAATATGCATGACAGGTCATGCTGGCTGCCTGGTGCACATGGATTGAAGTCTCCCGGGAGACTGGTCTGGAAGCTCTTCTTGCTCAGCAGGAGGGCCCGGAGGCTTAGTGCAGAGTGGAGAGAGCTGGATGCCTGGGGCGACCCTGAGGATTTGGGGATGGATGGGGACTGGAGGGTGACAGGGAGGGGACGTCACTGGTGACTCTCTTGTCTGTAGCTATGCAGGGTGGCTCCTGGAAGGTCTCTAGACAGTGAGATACCCTTCCAGAACATCTCCTACATGCTTGGATCCTGGGGTTTATCCGGAGGGGCCCCTTGGATAAGCCTTGACCTTGGCTATACTATTATTGACTGTTGGCTGTACCTGGAGATCTGCTCTTGGCAAGCTGAAATCTTTTTATCTGTTCCTTCTCATCTGCACTTCTATAGGTGTCACATGCCCCACGCCCACATCTGTTGAACATGCAGCCATCCGGGTCAAGAGTTACAACTTGAGCTCCAGGGAGCGGTATGTTTGTAACTCAGGTTTCAAGCGTAAAGCCGGGACATCCAGCCTGACGGAGTGTGTGTTTAACAAAACCACAAACATTGCCTACTGGACAACTCCCAATCTCAAGTGCATCAGTAAGTATCCAGTTCCTACACTTGTCCTTCTTCACCCCGCCAAGGCCACACAAAGAGCAGAGGTGCAGTATGGGGCCAGATGAGTCCATCTCAGGGCCAACACACTTCTCTGTGTTGAAGTCGGAGGCTAAACACCAATGGGACACTGAAAAACACCTTCTTCAGTTGTAGACACATGGGAGTTTGGTTCACACAATTCTGGGTTCACAATTGGCTCTGCCATTTCGTACCTGTGAGGTCTCAGGGAAGGCCCTTAATCTCTTGGAGCTCTGGATGGTCTTCTAGGAAATGAACCCCATGTTCACACTGCAGGTTGTATGAGGATTCAGTGGAATTCGGTGGTACATATGAACTGACACTACTGTGAATGCTTGCTTTGAGATTTATGGAGGAAGGATTTGGGTTACAGAAAGGATACGTGCTTACAAGCACACTTGCTTTCCAGGGAGTCCCCCCCCCCCCAAGGAAGGAGACTGCAGGGAAACTATTGCTGTTTTTCCCATTACTGCTCAGTCCCAAGGACTGGAACAGACCTGTGCAGCAATGTTTCCCTTAGCTTAGTCACTGTGTATGGTATCTGACAGTTCTCAAGTTTTCCCCTAAAACAGTCTACAACTGGACAGACATGCTAAAAGAAGCCAAATGCTGTTGAGGTGGAAGCCACTAGGTGCTATTTCCATGAATACTAAGCTCCACTTCTACTCCTCCCTTCCCGCCTCTAGAAAAGTAAAGATTGACCCATGCCCTGACTTAATGAGTCTTGGCTCTGTCTAGCAGTGAGCTAGATGCTTTCTCAAATTTGTATAACATTGGCGAGCATTCTGAACTCCTGTATGGGGCAGGGGCTGGGAGGGGACTGTCCCATAGCGAACTCACTCTGCTGGAGGATTCCTCAAAGAGCCACACTTTCTCATGGGATGTGTAGTGGTAGATAGCCCTTCTCCCCCATCCTTCTCTTCAGAACAGAAGTCACAGGGAAGGGAAGCAGGAAGCCCTTCCACTCATATCAAGGAATCATCCAGCTGAGGAATCAAGCTCCCTGTGGCACTGGGTAGAACTGAATAGAGGAGCCAGGTGAGGCTGGGAATGGCCGGTAACTGTGGGAACCCCGAGCGGATCTCTGACTCTGTCCTGTCCTGGGACCCACTGGAACCTGTAATTCAAGGACAAAAATAAGGGCCTTTCCACTGTAAGGAAAGTTACATTTCCGTAAAGCTCTGTGTCATTTGGGTGAATGAATCTATTAAGGAGTGGAGCTGTAGGCTCTGAACCAGGCAGATGCGAAGGGAAGAAGACACCTTGTAGTCCAGTTAGGTTTCACCTAGTTCAGAGCTTCCTCCATTTTTTTTTTTTTTTACCACCAACTCCCTTCAATCATTGTTTTTCCCAGCCTCTTGTGCTTTGAATGATTTTTTTTTTTATTTGACAGGTAGAGTTATAGACAGTGAGAGAGAGACAAAGAGAAAGGTCTTCCTTCCGTTGGTTCACTCCCCAATGGCTGCTACGGCCGGAGCTGTGCCAATCCGAAGCCAGGAGCCAGGTGCTTCTTCCTGGTCTCCCATGCGGGTGCAGGGGCCCAAGCACTTGGGCCATCCTCCACTGCCCTCCTGGGCCACAGCAGAGAGCTGGACTGGAAGAGGAGCAACTGGGACTAGAACCCGGCATCCATATAGTTTGCCAGTACTGCAGGCAGAGGATTAACCAAGTGAGCCCCGGCGCAGGCCCCAATTTTCTTCTTTCTTTTCTACTTTTTTTTAAAATGTATTTATTTATTTGAAAGTCAGTTACATAGAGAGTGGAAGATACACACACACACACACACACACACAGAGAGAGAAAGAGAGAGATGGATTGTCCCTCTGCTTGTTCACTCCCCAAATGGGTGCAATAGCTGAGGCTGAGCGAGACCAAAGCTAGGAGCCAGGAGCTTTTTCTGGGTCTCCTATATGGGTGCAGGGGTCCAAGCACTTGGGCCATCTTCCACTGCTTTCTTAGGTGCCTCAGCAGGGAGCTACATCAGAAGTGGAGCAGTAGGGACTTGCACTGGCGCCCATATGGGATATCGCCATCACAGGTAGTGGCTTTACCTGCTATGCCCTGGCCCCTGATTTTTCATTCTAAACAAACAGAATCTATTGAGTAATTGTTTACTGTCCCATGAAAATCCAATATTGTAAAACTGAGTTAATATCATTAATACTGTTCCAGCCAAAAATAAATTTGATGCCTTAGTTGTGCATTTTTTTTTTTTTTTTTTTTTTTTTTGGAAATGCTACAAATAAAGTTTGCTGGGGTTGGTGTTGTGGCATACTGGGTTAAAGCTGCTACCTGTAATGCTGACCTGCCATATGGGTGTCAGTTCAAGTCCCGGCTGTTCTACTTCTGAGCCAGCTCCCTGCTAATGTGCCTGTGGAGGCAGTGGAAGATGGCCAATGGGTCCCTCCACCCACATGGGAGACTCAGAGACAGCTCCTGGCTTCAGGCTTTGATCTGGCCCAGCTCTGGCCATTGTGGCCATTTGGGGAGTGAACCAGCACATGGAAGACCTCTCTCTGTTTTCCTCTCCCTTTCTGTGTATAACTCTGCCTTTCAAACAAATAAAATAAATCTTAAAAAAATAAAGTTTGCTATCTGTCTTTGCATTTGGATTGGAAAACACTGCTGTTTATTTCCTGAACTTTGAATCCAACTTAGGAAGTTAGATATCTCCATTGTATATTTAGGTTTTTAAAATGTATATCCAGTTCTGAAGCCACCCCCAAGTTCCACCCTCAGGATCGTAAATGCCATGTGGTTATCCTCTCTCCAGGAGACCCCTCCCTGACTCACCAAAGGCCAGTGCCACCCTCCACTGTAGTGACGGCAAGGGTGACCCCACAGCCAGAGAGCCCCTCCCCTTCTGGAAAAGGTAGGAACACAGGAAACTTTTTAAAGATTCCCATTCCCTACTACCACCCAGCTCCCCACCCTCGAATCCTGAACATTCATGGACCACTGCTGCTGTTCTGCTGCCAACTTGGGTAACAGAACAGACTCTTTGTTGAGGACAGGAGTCAGAATTTATAGTGGCTCTAATTTTCTTTTTAAAATCAGAGTTGCTTGATGTCTAGATTTCATATGTGCACAATGAATAGTGGTTTAAAACTCACTGTTAATGTAACAAATTATGCTTAGTTGTAGACACTTATCCTTATCACGAACTGGAAACAGCCTGAGATGTGATCTCATTTGTACCACGTTAGCCTGCCACAGTTTTATGGGTGCTGGCAGAAAACATAATACTCCTGGAGAAGAGACAGTGTGGCTCATTTATATGTGGCATAGCAAGCAGCAGGATCATTAGCATGTTTGCATCAATTTCTTTGTTTCTCACAGAAGCAATGTGGATGGGCCTGAATAGATGCCCAGATGTCCAGTGGGTTACACTCTGGGAGGAGAAACCTGGGCTCAGGGAACCCGAATGTTTTATAATTGGGAGCAAACAGAGTCACTTTTGATTTGCCCAATAAATCAGATAATCACCAAGTCACCACTCCTAGCCTTGCATCTGTGTCCCAATCACTTGGTCAGATGTCCTTTGCTGAGATCAAACTGTGCAGCTGGAAGCTCGGCTGTGAGAGAGCAACATTTGATACAGACTGATGTGAGCGCATGCTTGGATGTGAATGCTCGGTCTGGGGGGACTCTAGATGCGGGGGACCCTGGAGTGCTGACAGCTAGAGTAAGGTGAGGGGCATGTGAGGCCGTAACGAAGGGTTAATTGTAGGGGACCTCTCACCACGTAGGTGGCTGGGAGAGGATGGGGACACAGGCTTCAATCACGTGTCAAGAGCATTGTGATGCTTGGCCTCACCAGGTGCTTTGCTCTAAGGCTGTATTTTCTAAGTTCTGTATCTGTCAGGAGACCCAGTTGCCATGGAGACAAGATAGGAAACAGCTATGCCACACCTTACTTAACAGTGTAGGGGCAGCCATCCGCCAAGAAGGGGCAAGGCAGTCTCCCTCCCTGAGACTGAAGCTAAATCAGGATATATCCCTCAAATACACACCACTGAGTTCAGACAAGCCAAATCTCAGGCTTCCCCATATTTCAAAAAGTGTTTGCCAACATGTAATAAAGAAAACCAGAATCTTAGCTTTTTGGCAAACACAGCCCCCTTGTGTGTGTGTGTGTGTGTGTGTGTGTGTATTTAAGATTTATTTATTTAACAGAGAGGGCAAGGCAGAGAGAGAGACAGAGACAGAGAGAGAGAGAGAGTGCTAAGAGATCTTTCATCTGCTGGCTCACTCCCCAAATGGCCACAAGGGACAGGGCTGGGCCAGGCCAAAGCCAGGAGCCAGGAGCTGCATCTGGGTCTCCCACATGGGTGCAGCAGCCCAAGCACTTGGGCCACCTTCTTCTGTTTCCCCAGGCATGTTAGCAGGGAGCTGGATCGGAAGTGGAGCATCTGGGACCTGGAACAGGTGCCCATGTGGGATGCAGATGGCGGCTTTACACGCTTACATGCTACGTCACAACGCCAGCCTCCCTTGTGTTGTTGAGCTACGTCTTTGAGCATGTGAATGTCTCCTCTAGGCAGCAAGCTTGAATATGCAGCTCTTTAGGGTTTTTCCTATATATGCACCATGATAAGTAACTGATAAGCCCCATCGCCATGGATGTGTCACCACTGAAGGGGGGCATCATGCTGGGGCAGGGCTGGGGGGTGGGCTCCCTGGAGTGTGTCCTGAGACTCCCCATCTGCTGGAACTCAGAGGACTCCAGTCTAAATATCTGTGTTCTCACCATCTTGAAATCTCCTGCAGGCCCAGCCACATTCTCTCCAGAATCAGACACCACAGTGGCCACAGGGACAGCTATTGTACCAGGCTCCCAGCTGATGCCATCCACGTCACCTTCCACAGGAACCACAGGGGTAGGCAGTCATGAGTCCTCCCAAGCCCCATCTCAGACAACAACAAAGACCTTGGAACCCACGCCCTCCACCTCCCACGAGACAACAGGTTAGCACTAGCTTTGCATGGCGACAGGCCGGTTCCCCACATCCTGCTTCTGAGATTTGGGTAGGGATCTTGCACCGTTCAGTCCAGAGTCAGCACTGACCTAGCGGCCTTGCTGCCTTCTGCACCTGCCACAGCCCCCTTTGCCTGGTTTCTGTTCCCCGTGGTGCGCACTTTCTGCCTGGCTTAGTCCAGCTGGGAAAACTGGAAAAGAAAAATCCACCTCCGCAGTGCGATGAGGCCAACCTTATTAAGCTGCCCAGCAGAGCCCATGGCACAGCTCTGAACACCCATCTGAACTGTACCCCCATGGCAGGGTGATGGACACATTCTGCCATCTGGAGCCATTGTCTGTGGGGTAGAGACGCTCTTGGGATTCTGGGCCTGCTTTAGGTCTTGCCCAGTTCGGAAGCATGTCCCAGCACCTCAGTGAGTTTCCTGCGTGTTCTTGGCTGAAATGATTTTGGTGATGCTACTGGTGGGTCTCCCAAGGTTCTAAGATGGGAGCCAAGATATCCCAAATTTCTTGGGCTCTGTGAGAAACTAGTACCTTAAGGACTGCAGCCCAGACTTAGCTGTTCTCTCTCCTCTGCAGATGCTCATCCGTACAGTTCCAGAGACGTCACTGGTAAGTACTCTCCTTTGTCTGGCGTGCTTACGATGGGGTGACCACAGAGCCAGCAGGCTGAACAGTCCTGCTCTGGGCCTGCCGCCCGGCATGACCTCCACCCTCAGAAGTGCCTCCATCAGAACAACTACGTTCTGTGATATCTCGGTAATGGACAGCTTCGTCTGTCATGACATCTTATGTCCATACTGCTCGCTGCTACCTGTCATGCTAGTGACGTTGAAACCAGACAGCTGCTGTACCACAGAAAGGGCCTCGTGGTTCACTTCTGCTCAGCAATGCAGGACTCTTGTCCAGGAAACTGCCCGTGCCCACTGTTGCCATTTTTCTGCCAGCAGCTGCATTCATCTCCCACAGGACAGGGGCACCGTAAGCTTTACAGAGGGAGCTCCACTTTTCTCAGAATAAAGCACTTCCTCCTACAGAAGACACGTGCAACGTTAAGGCTAGGAGAAAAAGAAAGGAACAGACAAGTGACTATGAGGAGGAAATGGGAAGTGTTTGTAAGAATAGGAAAAGAAGAAGGGAGGAGAAGAAAGTGCAGAGAAGACAACAGGAGAAAGAAGGCGAATGGAGTGGCCGGTGCTGCCCCCCCCCCCCCCCCAAGCTATTTCACTTCTAGTCCAGCTCTCTGTTAATGCGCCTGGGAATGTGGCAGAAGATGGCTCAAGTACTTGGGCCCCTGCCACCCACGTGGGTAGACAGAGACCCAGATGGAATTGCAGGCTCCTGTCTTTGGCCTGGCTCGGAACCAGCTGTTGCAGTCATTTGGGGAGTGAACCAGTGGATGGAAAATTTTTCTCTTTCGGCCGGGGCCGCAGTTCACTAGGCTAATCCTCCGCCTTGCGGCGCCGGCACTCCGGGTTCTAGTCCTGGTCGGGGCGCCGGATTCTGTACCGGTTGCCCCTCTTCCATGCCAGCTCGCTACTGTGGCCAGGGAGTGCAGTGGAGGATGGCCCAAGTGCTTGGGCCCTGCACCCCATGGGAGACCAGGAGAAGTACCTGGCTCCTGCCATTGGATCAGCGCGGTGCGCTGACCGCAGCGCACCGGCCGAGGCGGCCATTGGAGGGTGAACCAACGACAAAGGAAGACCTTTCTCTCTGTCTCTCTCTCTCACTGTCCACTCTGCCTGTAAAAAAAAAATTTTTTTCTTTCTATGTATGTCTCTCCCTCTCTTTTTCTGTAATTCTGCTTTTCAAATAAAGAAATAAATCTTTAACAATGAAGACTTCAAAAGCAATTAAAGATAAAATATATATATTTATAAAGTTACAAAGATAGTAAAAAAAATTCTCAGTTGTGACTAAAAATTATCTTGTAGAAAGGAAGCAACGCCTGTTCCCAGATTTTAGGGCATGCTTCCAGAGAGGCAGTCTGGAAACAAGCACTCAGGGGTTAAATGACGCTGGACCCTTGTTTTACTTTTACTGTTCTGTACTTCACTTTCACTTAATGAGGTATCCTGGAGATCCTTCCACATCAGTGCATAAAATCCCCTTCTTTCTTTTTCACTGCCACAGAATATGGATTTGCCATGCTTGTTTAGCTTGCCTCCTCTTTGGATATGTCATTGTTTACATTTGTTGGTTATATTACAAATAATGACTGGAAAATCCCCATGTGCCAGTCTTATCTGTAGGATATCCTACACGTAAAATTCTGGGGCCAGGGGCCAATGTTGTGGTGTAGTGGGTTAAGCTACCACTTGCGATGCTGGCATTTGATATTGGAATGCTGGTTCGAGTCTCAGCTGCTCCACTTCTGATCCCTGCTAATGCACCTGGCAAAGCAGCAGAGGATGGCTCAAGTGCTTGGGCCCCTGGCAAACACATCCAAGACCAGGATGGAGTGAGTTCCTGGCTCCTGACTTTAACCTGGATGGGTCCCAGCTGTTATGGACATGGGGACTGAACCAGTGGACAGAAGATCTCTATTTCTCCTTCTCTCTGTTGCTCTACCTTTTAAATAAATGCATAAACCTTTTAAAAAATGTCCATTTTTGGCTACATAGATTTTTCAAACAGTATTTGATTATGGGTTACAATCTATAATCTGCTTTTCCAGTTGATGACTTTCACTGGATTAAAATATCAAAATCTCTTCCAGGGCAGGTGTTTAGTTTAACAGTTGAAATGTCCCTGTCCTATACAGGAGTACCTGGGTTTGATACTTGGCTTCAGCTCCTGATTCCAGCTTCCTGCTAGTGCTGACCCTCGGGGTCTGCATCAGTGACGGCTCAAGTAATGGGGTTCCTGCCACCTGGACTGAGTTCCCAGCTCTCAGTTTCAGCCTGGCTCAGCCCTGGCTGTTGCAGGCATTTGTGGAGTAAACCAGCAAATGGGAGCTTATTTCTCTGTCTGTCTCCTTTTCTCTGCTTCTCAAATAAATTTAAAAAAAATGTTATCTCCCAAATTCTGAAATGTAATAAACATTAACTGAACAACTACAATGGGCAAAGATAGTTGCATGCAAGGAATTGTGAAAATACAGAGGACTAAAGAAAAAAACAAACCAAAATATTTCATGTGTGAGATTTTTTTCCTTCAGACTGCTGAAATAAAAAGATATGGGCTGGTGTCATGCCACTGTGGGTTGGTATGCCAACATTTCATATGGGAGTGCCAGTTCATGCCCCAGCTGCTCCACTTCTGATCCAGTTTCCTGCTAATGCACCTGGTAGGAAGTGGGTGATGTCTCAAGTACTTGGGTCCCTGTCACCCACATGGGAGTCCCAGTTGGAGTTCCTAGCTCCTGACATCAGTCTTGCCCAGTGGTGGGTGTTGTGGGCAGTTGGGGAATGAACTAGCAGATGTAAGAGATTCTCTCTCTCTCTCTCTGTCTCTCTCTGCTTTTCAAATGAATAAATAAATCTTCAGAAAATTTAAAAAGATAGGTGAAGAGAACCAAGTACTTGTCAGCAAAGAGATGAAAATAAAATCTGTTTCATTGTATGTGATTTAAGTTTTGTCTGCTCATAAGGTAGAAATTAAAATCATGCTAGTTTTCTGAAAGCACTTAGTGAAGGTGCCATTACGATATGTCACATATGTCTGTCCCAGCTACCCCAACACCCAACAGTGTGCAGGCATCACTTTATATGGGCTGAGATACTCCCTGGCTCCTGATTGTCGTTGTTTCTGCATGAATTAGCAGTCAGTTGAGCTTATCTTTCTAGGAAAATATTAATAATGCTTTACCATAGTGGTTACTCAATAAATTAATGGATTTTCAGTGAACCCATGATACACTAGTATCATAATTTGTTTTTCAAATAAGGTATTTAAATGATCATTACTTTTAAAAGTTGCTCTTTTTTGATTCAACAGAAAATATTCAATAAATATGGAATGAGTAAGCAAATGGATAAGTGAATTTGAGGGCCTTTACATTTTAATAAACATTTAAGAAATGTCATTCATAGTTTCATTGTCTTAAATATCCCTTGGTTCACTTGACAGTACTTTTTGACAGTAACTTTGTTGGATTATTCCAATATCTCTTCTCCAGTCTCTACCTAGGCTGTTGTTCAAGGCTCCCAATTATAAAATAAAAGGTGAGCGTGCAACACTGCCACCTTCACTGAGTACACTAGGAATGAAGCATGTGTTTTTCAAAATTAGGATTCCTCTACTTCTCTATATTTGAAATAAACTTGCCACAGCCAACCTGCTCAGCTGTTGACAGAGCTATCTCTTGTCTTACTCATCTGCTCATTTCCTACTCTAGACCTAGTTTGGTGCTTTGCTGCTATGAAATGCGGATTTCTCATAAAAAAAAAAAAAAGTCCCTTTCAATTTACTTCATTCACAGAACGTTAAAGGCTTACTTTGATCAACTGAGTAATGAATTGATGCAATGCTGTTCCATCCAAACTGCCTTCATTTGCCGCAGGGACACCAGCGCTGTGTCACAGTGATTGCTACCCCACGACTGGCCTAGTTTGTCAGTATTGCTAAGCAATGACTACTCTCCATGTATTCAGAGGATATTTCCACCATCCGTGCCAAATACTGGCCACTGGCAGTCTCGCCTGCCTTCTCTGTCCTAGTCTCAGTCTGGACTATAAACTGAAGTCAGGGTGGGTATCTACTGTTGCACCATAATCAACATTTTCTTCTCCCTCTCCTCTCTCTCCTCCCCCCTTTATCTCAGCAAATCTTCTTTTCCTTTTTCTGCAGTCCACATTGCCTTGGAAACACAAAAGGGTAGAGAACCTGACCAGTGATGTATTCATTCATTGTCTTGGTGATTTTGGTTTGAATCTCATTATTGAATTTGCTTTGGCTATAAGTGAGGAAGAGGCTAAGAGTCTGAGGTTGTCACCTAAGTTGAATTGTTTTGTTTTGTCATTGGCCCGGGAGCCCTGCAAATTTTATTCTCATTTAACAGGAACCAGGAGGAAGCATTGTGAAAGCAGAGCTACAGCTTTCATCAACTTGCCCTTTCCAGTAAACACTCCTAGCAGTAAATGCATGCCACACCTGTTAGTGAACATGAAGACATAGCTTCCTATAGAGTACAAAAGTTCTGAAAAAAAATTTTTTTAAAGTCATAATGATGATTAATGTTAAGTCTGAGAGCTCAAAACATCTTTGCTTACTTTTGCATGTTTTCTGTTACAGTAGCAACTTTTCTATGCTGATTTTAGTTACTTAAATGTTGCTTGCTTTGTTTATATAGTTTTGATCTTCTGATTAGTCATTAAAAATGAGAAAGAAGTTTAAAATTAAAGATGATATGTAATGCCATCATTACTTAGTACTCTGGTGTACTGTATATTTCTCTAGCCTGTTCTGTGCATATTGACACTCACAAGGCTTGGGGTTCATTCTATCTCAACCAGATTTTTTTTAAAGTTTTATTTACCCACTAGAGACAGAAAGAGAAAGAGATCCAGTCCCTTCCACTGGCCAAGTCCCCAAATGCTTGCAATTGCCAGTGCAGGGGACCAGGAACTGAATCCAGGTCTTCCAAATGGGTGGTAGGAGCCCAGTCATTTTTTTAAGATTTATTTTAACTATTGAAATACAGAAGGAGAGAGAGAGAGAGACAGAATGAGAGAGAGAGATCTTCCATCCACTGGTTCACTTCCCAAATGGCCACAACAGCTGGTGCTGAGTGGATATGAAGCCAGGAGCCAGGAGCTTCTTCCAGGTGTCCTACATGGGTGCATTTGGGAAGTGAACTAGTGGAGGAGAGATCTTTCTGTCTCTGTCTCTCTGCCTTTCAAATTAGGTTTAAAAATTAAAAAAAAATCTAAAAAGATGATGGAATTGGAAGGAAAGTGGCACTGCATGCAGTTCTTAAATCTGTGAAGTTGAAGAACAGAGACATTTTCTTTTCACTTTGGTTTTAGTGGCAGGAAGGAACTCTTGCTCTTCTGGAAGGGCTAGCCACCACCTCCTCCTTCTCCTCCTCCTCTCTACCTCCTATCACCCAGCTTTGGCTTGGAGGCACCTCCTTTTCCTCCTATCCATCCCTGCTCATAGTCACTGTACTCAGCAAGAACAAGCCGTGTGGGGCAACACGGCTGGGGATGGGTTGCATTGGCAGTGTCGACAGGGAAGAGGGCATATTTTTGCCCAGAAGTAGAGTAGAGCAAGCTATGAGGCCCTCAAGAAATGTTAATAATGGTGAGCTGATTGGGAAAGCATTTGGATTTCTCTGCAAGAATGTAGGACATACAGGATTTTCCAGTTCGTAGCAATGAATGAGTTCTTAGGATTCTCAGCATGGCTCCAGCTTTGTTCTGTTCTTTTACAGTGGCCATCTCCACATCTGTCTCGCTGCTGGGTGTAGTGTGTGTGGGGTTCCTCCTGGCGTATTGCCTCAGACCAAGGTGAGTAGCACAGCAGAAACCACAGGACTAAATCTCTCCTTCCCAAGAGAAAATAGCCGTATCATCATGATTCTGGGATGATTTCTCAAAGGAAGAATCCCTTTGTGACTAGATTCTCACACTCATCCACCTCTGTTTTAGCCAAAGAGAGCATTAGAGCTGAGCACTGAGCCAGCCCTAGAGGGCCCTTAATCTGCCACACAGTTCTCAGGCCACTGGTTGGCACTGGGGTGGGGTGGGATGGGGGCGGCAGATAATGCTGCAGGAGGCCAATCTACCAATACGCAATTTAGAAAGAGTGCCCCTAGCGGCCAGTCTGATGAACATGCACTGTGTGCCTATTCTTCAGGTGATATATTCATGAATATAGTATACTATCCTTGAATGCACTCTTAATTTTGTGTATATTTTCTTATCCTCAATCATGTTAACCTTAATTTTGTCAAATAATTGAAATTCTGCATTTCAGCATTTATGACAAGTTTCTGCCACTGGATGGTATGTATAAGGATCATTTTTAATGACAAATACATTAAAATAGATTGTTAAAAAGTGTGCAAATTGGTTGTATGCTGCCAATAAATAAGCTTACAAGAGAATAATATCAATTTGCTGACTATATTAAATAATAAATAATTTTTCAATTATTTTTCCAATCTTTAGGCATTTTGATCCTTTTTTCACTAAAGACTGAAGCAGCAGTGCTAGCCTTATTGTGTACTTCTTTCAGGTGGTGACCAGGATCTCACCCTTCCAGATCGATGTGGTTTTTCTGGGTCTGCTGAAACTAAAATTTTACTGACTAGTTATAAAATATTAAATATGATGTCACTATAAAAGTATAGGACCCTTTGAGCCTAATTTTTGCAAAATGAACATTCCATGAAATTGTATCATAAAGCCAAAAATGAAAACCAGTCTTTAAAAGTTCACATAAATCTTCAAAAGCTGTTAATACCAGACCAACCAATAAAAAATGCCATCAATATCTTATGTAGTAGCTCAGAAGTTAATGAACTACGGTTAATAAATTACTCAAAAATTTATCTAAAAAACCTATCAAATGCCAAATGTTGACAATACAGATGAAATTACTTTCAAAAGGATTTTCAAAATATCATTGCTGAATAATTTCCATGTAAAAAGCTGAATGTAGAGTTATATTCTTAGATTATAGCTAGCTATATTAAAAAGGAATCTATATGTCATCTTTGTAATAAATACATTAAAATATATTCTTAAAAAGAATTTGTAAGTTTGGTATATACAGCTAATAATATACTCACAAGAGGAAATACCAGTGTTTACTGACTATATTAAATATTTTGTAAATGTATTTTTAAAAGGTTTGGTAAATCTGGTAAATATGATTATTTGGTCATTTGGTCAATTAAATCTTCCCGTAAACTGCATTTTGCAAATTGGTTATCAGATATCCTAGTCAACAAACTGGCTTTTAGCAAATTGGCCTAAGATTCTGATTTATAGCCAAGCTTTCACTCGAAGGGGCTCAAATCACTTCCCTTAAAATGGCCTAAAAAGTTGCTTCTCTGTAGAAGAGAGACTCCGTAAGCCAGAGAAGAAGGTGCTGCTGACCCAGCTACTCAGAGAGGCAGCTTCATGACAGACACACAAATGTGTAATCAAAATATTGTGCCTTCCTCACTCTCATTATTCAAGAGATGATTAGTCTGTTTCTAACACTTACTAAGCACCAAGAACCGTTTAAAAACCTTCATGAGCTTGGATGATGTAGATGACCAAGTGTGGTGCGAGCAGCCTCCTGGCTACACTTCCCTTTTCCTGTCCCTGCCATCTGAAGTGCTTTTCAACAAGGGGTGGGGATGAGGAGCTTGTGGGAGGGACGTGAGCTGCCCCAATAGCACTGGAAATCTGGTGGATGGGGAGGATGAAAATATGGTATTTAAATCCCATCTGGAAGTTGAAGCCTTTTAGGTTTTCTAGATCTTTGAGCAACACCACCATCAAAGACCGAGTATTTTGTGATTCTTGCAGGCAGGGCATGTGTTTGCTAATGCCTTCCACACTGTGCTGGACACCCATGTTCAATAGGAAGTTATCTGCTGATTTGAGGGCAACCCTCTCCTCTTTTCAAAACGTGTGAATCATCTGCTTTGCAGGCAAACTTCCCAGCCACCTGGTGTTGAAATGGAAACCACAGAAGCAATGCCAATGACTGGGCGCACCGGTAGCAGAGAGGAAGACACAGAAAACTACCCACCTGACCTCTGAAACTCGTGGTGGGGTGTTCCAGCCCAACTAAGTCTGGAGCAAAGGAACCACCTCTGTTTACCTAAGGAGGAAGAGACTCAAGGAGTTGGGTGCCCAGAAAAAGCCGACCAGGATAACCACACGTCCCTGATGTGATCTAACTGTGCCCAGCCTGGGCACACCCCCGTAGAAGCCAGGAGATCACTGAGCATTCAGGAGGATGCCATCCATCCACCCACCTGCTGCCAACTCAGGTACAGGGGCCAGCTTCCCAAAGTCCAAGCAGGTAAAGCTCTCTCAGGAAAGGCTGATGGCTTCAGGCCAGCGTTTGTATTTCATTATGACATTTATTGAGGCTACTTTATTGGCCTGTTTAGTCCATGTGTCATCCTGACTTGTAGTTTAGAGAGGATAGTAATACAACCAAGGCTGTCCATTGCACAATGCTCCTTCTGACTTGAGAGATGTCCACAGGGAAGGCATCTGCATTTGAGCTCCAGAAAATTCTGACAATAGGTGCTCTGCATGATTGGAAGTAGGCCAAGCAAGGCAGAAGACATATTGAGCCCACTGAATCCTCTTGAGTTAAGGATTCAGAAAGAAAACTGAACTCAGTGACATTTTACATACACAAGCGTTTATATTTATTCTTCTGTTATCTCTGCATATTATATATGATTTGTATTTTGAAATTATGTCTATGTAAGCAAAATAAAAATATATTTTCAATACAAAAAGAATGAGACATGTTCCACAAAGAAAACAGCAAGGATGCAGAATCTGCAATGATTGTAGCACAGATTTTCTTTCTAAAAAGAGAAAAAAAAAATGCTTGCCCAAAGCTGGATCATATCACAGTTTCGGGAATTTCTAACAAAATTTCCCTGTGAGAAGTAACTTGATGTAACCTGGATGATGGTAAGTTGTGGCTCAGCTATGTGTGGGATGTACATTTCACTTTCCTTCTCATGTTCTTCTTTGCTGTGGATGCCATTTATTTCTGAAATCCTAGGCCTAATCTCACTTTCCCACCCATTTTATGGATGTGAAAATTGAGCCAGAGAAAGTGGAACCACCACAAACATCTGGGAGGTAGGGCATGCACGCAGCATCTGATTCATATGCTGCCAGAGGCTCTTAAAGCGCCACTTCTCATTGTCTGCTGTGTGTCAATTTAGATGGTTTTATCACAATTAAAGGAAGCCTCTCCAAATGGTTATTTGGGCCCCTCCCCTCCAACCAGCACAGTGGTAGGAGTGGTAGGAGCTGCCATGCCATTAGTGTCAGACCAGACACCTACATGCATCACTGTTGCATTTCGTGGGTCCAGCCGTGTTCAAAGGCCAGCCTAGGCTCAAATGGGAGGGAAGGAATCAATGGAAGCCCGATTTGGTGAGTGCCTCCCACAGTTTTCAGAGCTGCTGCAGAGCTGTGATTTGCTTTTCAATCCTTGGCACTCAGTAAATGTCAATAAATATTGGATGAAGGAACAGAATTATCTGTGGAAACCACTACCTGCCAAGTGCTAATTAGAATCCATCTTAAAATTTTTATAATGAAATGGAAAAAGTTCACAGAACTCCAAAAGATTTCAAAGTTCTACAGCTGTTATGCCTTTAGTCCAGATGTCTTTAACTGGCTACAAACCTAAAAAACTCACATTTTCCCCTTTTCCCTTGTTTCCTGCACTCCGAAATTTGCCATGAAAAAAACACATTACTTCTCATATTTTTTATTTTGCTTCATTTTCCTTGATCAAGAATAACTTTTACCCCTGCTCCCCCCACCTTTTTTTTTTTTTAAAGATTTTATTTAATTATTTGAGAGGCAGAGTTATAGTGAGAGGGAGAAGACAGTGAGAAAGGTCTTCCTTCTGTTGGTTCACTCCCCAAATGGCTGCAATGGCCAGAGCTGCGCCCATCCGAAGCCAGGAACCAGGTGCTTCCTCCCGGTCTCCCATGTGGGTGCAGGGCCCAAGCACCTGGGCCATCCTCCACTGCTTTCCCAGGCTGCAGCAGAGAGCTGGATTGGAAGAGGAGCAGCTGGGAGTAGAACCGGCACCCATATGGGATGCCAGCGCCACAGGAGGAAGAGTAACCCACTGTGCTATGTTGCCGGCCCCTATTTTCTTCCTTTTAAACTCTCTTCTAGACATTAGGAAGTAAAAGAACAGGGATCAAAATCCACATTTAAGAATCTTCCATGTTTCTAAGTGCCTGTTCCACTTCTTCATCAAAAACCTTTCACTATTAGTTGAGGCTGCCCATTTCTGGCCTCAAAATTTCAAAAAAAAAAAAAAATATGCAGTTTAAGTATCTTGAATCTCCTTGCCTATTTCCCAACAAGTCTGTGCTGCTTGGAGTAGAACCAGCCCAATTCAAATCATAGCCTCCCCAACACCCAGCACAAATCAGGGCTGAATGTGTGAATATCATTCCAGGATGCATATAAACAAGGAGCTCTAATAATGAGGAAATTCACTTTCCCCTTCTCTCCCTCAAGTGCCTGTCAATAATATTGTCTACACATGCTGCTTTTGTTGGGTTAGTCTTAGCTATCCAGGACATAGCACTTCTTTGTCTACATTTATGGGTGTCCTCCATTGTGTTGGGGTGCCTTGTTGTTCAATACAGGGTAGGGGCAGACATCCCCTTCCCATATGCTCTCATCTAACCTGGCTGGGCCCATCAGACCTTTTCACCTGGGACTCAGAAGCTGTTGACTATGGGAGGAATGAATGAAGCACAATGAACTTGCAGAGCGGTGTCCTGTAATCGCCTTAGCTGTCACACTATTTCTTTCTCCAGACTGCTCTGGTTCAGAGAATCTGCTCTGGTCCCGGAATGAATTCATCAAAATCCTTAAACTACCACTTACCTATTGATAATTTTAAAATTACTTCCACCCACGGCTCTTTGTTGAGTATAGATGTTTACCCAATAGCCCCCTGGACAATTCTACTTTAATTTCTCTTAAGCACCCTAAAATCATTACATCAAAAAAACAAATCCAGGGGCCGGCATTGTGGCATAACGGGTAAAGCTGCCACCTGTGACACCGGTATCCCATATGGGTGCCAGTTCAAGTCCTGGCTGCTCCACTTCTGAACCAGCGACCTGCTAATGTACCCGGAAAGCAGAGGAGGATGGCCCAAGTACTTGGGCACCTGTGCCCACATGAGAAACCAGGAAGAAGCTCCTGGCTCCTGCCTTTGGATCAGCCCACCAATAGCTGTGCAGTCATTTGGGGAGTGAACTAGTGGATGGAAGCTCTCTCTATCTCTCGCTCTCTAACTCTGCCTTTCAGATAAATCCAGCTTAAAAAAAAAACAAATCTGCTGAGCCCCAGCCCCAGAGTATCTGACCCTGAAGGTCTTTGGTACACTGGGAATTGTATTTCTAACTCTTCCCAGCTGATACTGATGCCACTCATCTGGGGACCGTACTTCCAAGACCACTAATCTGTCTACCCAATCAGCAGTTCACCCTACCAGTCACAGTGCAACTGCCATCACTTGTCATTTTCTTGCTGAGATGATAATCATTAGCCTTTTAATTTATCTGACCTTTTGTATTTTTAAATATTTACTTATTTGAAAATCAGAGAGAGAGAGAAAGTCTTCCATCTGCGGGTTCACTCCCCAGATGGCTACAACGGTCAGGCTGAAGCCAGGAGTCAAAAGCTTCTTCCAGGTCTCCCGGTGGGTGCAGGACCCAGACACTTGGCCATCTCCTCTGCTTTTCCTAGGCCATTAGCAGGAAGCTGGATCAGAAATGGAGCAGCTGGGATGCAATGCCAGTGTTGCAGGCAGAGCTTTACCTGCTATGCCACAACACTGGTCCCCTTCCTTGATCTTCTTGAAACATTCTCCAAACTGCAACTGGAAGGATCTTCCTATAAACAGGTGTCCAGCAAACTGTTAAAATCTTGCTTAGTATAGAGTTGATCTCCTGTATATAAAAGATAATTAACAATGAATCTTAATGTAAGAATGGATGGGAGAGGGAGTAGGAGGTGGGATGTTTTGGGGGTGGAGGGCGGGTAGGGGGGGAAGAACAGCTATAATCCAAAAGTTGTACTTACAAATTTATATTTATAAATAAAAGCTTTCTATTAAAAAAAAAAAAACACCATGGAATCTGCTTGGCTCAGCTCTGAGACCAATGTGGTTTTTGGGTGATGCGTGCTCACCCGC